TTGTGGGTTATGTCTATCAGTATTTACTCTATTAGAAGTTAAAACTGAGATTGATTGGTTTGAATTAACCTATAATGAAAAATAACTTTCTTTTCTTTTATTTATTTTTTTTAAAGTTTACTTATCTTTATTGTTGAGGGTAAAAATAACTTCCTTTTAAAACAAAAATATTAGGAAGAATGCCATTTTTCTATAATTTTACAAATATCTTTAATGTCATGTCTTCATTGCATTGCAATTTATTGCTTTGGTTAAAATATGTGAAGAAAATTTAGTCTTGCAGACAAATGGAATTGGAAAGGGGAGGAGTATTTTACTAGCCTTTCAGATAATTGAATCTGAAAGCAGGTCAGTGAACTTTGCATGTCTGTTACATTAAAGTCCATTGGTCTGTCTGTACTGAGAATGGATCTCTCACCTGTGCATGATTTTATAACATTATACATATTGGTGCAATGGGCTCTGCAGACTTTTCCAATGTTAAATTTTCTTATACACTCTCAAAATCACATTCATTTGTATAACTAATCTCAGAAAAATCTTTAAATTTTGGGAAGCTTCAAGCTCAATTTGGTGATAAAACTTTACTGAAATTCTAATTTGTGTTTGAAAGCTTAGATTTTTGTCATTGGCAATACTTGATACTGTCAGTTGTTTTCTTTTGAAGTGGCAGGTTCACTTCATTCATTTTCAAGATGTCTGCCAATACCCAAGTCTGAATACGTTTGTAACCGTAACCATAGTTAGTTGCTCTGTCATTTTTTCAAGTAAAGCTTATGTTCCATGCAATGAGCAGCTGCTTCAACTCACAACTCAGTTACACAGTATTTTCCCTTAAGACCATCATCATGCCTCGGCGTGAGCAAGTGCCTTGAGTATTTCCACAGGAGCAGGAATTCGTCCTGGTCTATTCTTTCCTGAGGTAGATGGTGGTTACCACTGTGCTCAGATGGACATCCTTTCACTCTTTTCTCTTCCTGTTCCCTCAGAGTCAGGATTGTCTCCAGTTGGGTCCTCCTGCTGAAGGGGACGTGGTTCAAGTGCGGTGGACAGATGGCCAAGTCTATGGAGCCAAGTTCGTGGCCTCCCACCCCATCCAGATGTACCAGGTAGCCAAAGGCTTGGGGGTTGGGAGAGTACCTGATTAATTCAGTGTTTCCTCTCGGGCCAGAGGTGTGTCTTTGCTCTTCAGAGAGCTGAGGGACTCAGGAACAGTCCTTTCAGAGCTAGGGGCTGCCCTGTGTCCAGTCTGCCAGCTGTGGCTTCAAACATGGCAGTCCTTCAGTGTTCTGATTTCTTCCCATGACGGCAGGAAATGGCCAGTGTGCATGGTGGCCCAGAGAGAGAGTCAGGGATATCTTAGCAAAGCCTGTGTTTCCTTGGTAGGTGGAGTTTGAGGACGGCTCACAGCTGGTGGTTAAGAGAGATGATGTATACACGCTGGATGAAGAGCTTCCCAAGAGAGTCAAGTCTAGACTGGTGAGTGTGTTCTGTGTGCCCTTGGTTCCTGACGGGGGGAAGGGAACAAGGCAAGGATGTGCCCTTTGTTTTTTTCTCATGGCGGTTGGCCACAAAGGGCTCATTTGGCTTGCCTGTTCTTCTGTAGTCAGTAGCCTCAGACATGCGCTTCAACGAGATTTTCACAGAGAAGGAGGTTAAACAGGAAAAGAAACGGCAGCGAGTTATCAACTCAAGATACCGGGAAGATTACATTGAGCCTGCACTCTACCGGGCCATCATGGAGTAGGTGCTTCCAGGAGCCAAGAGATTCCCAGCCACCAAGGCGAGAACACTCTGGAGGTTCCAAAGCACAGCAGACCCTTCGAACTCTGAAGTCTCTAAAATGAAGTTGTAAAATGCAAAGGAATGAAATAACCAACCGCATCGTCTTCTCACCCCACCCTCATCGCATTCACCTCTAGTGAAAGGATAAGCCGTTCTTGGACTTGTGGCAGCAGCCGCTGAGCTCCCACCGAGGGGCTGAGCACAGGAATGCTGTGGCTGCATGGTCTCTAATGGGGTCGACTCCGCTAGCTGGACTGGTTGCCCTGTTCTCGGCCTAGAACTTAGTTTCCTAATGATCACCTGCACCAACTAGGAAGAGGTGCTGGTGCTTGCTCCCTCCCTTCCCCCTTTTGTATTTATGTGTGTGTGTGTGTGTGTATGTATGTATGTATGTGTGTGTGTGTATGTATGTATGTGTGTGTGTGTGTGTGTGTGTGTGTGTGTTTGGTCTGGACCAGCTTTTGCCAGCCCCTGGCCTTTACTTCCTTCCTTTGCCTATCCAGGGCAAACAAAATGTGAAATTCTGCCCTCAGCTGAGCTGAATAAGGGCCCCTGGGGTTGGCTGGAGATGGGTGTGGCTTCTGTCCCTTGAACTGCCTCAAGGGAATGCTGGCAGAGCTGCAGTGTTGCGATACTAACTAAGGAGCTAAGGCCACCTCTCTTCTGTCCCCTCTTGAAGAAGAGAGGGGTCACATGGGTGTGTGCCCACATCTCTCTAGACACAGAGCCCCTGTGGCACAGTATTAGAGGGTGTGGGTGGGGAATACCATGCAGGAGGATCTTAATGATGGAAGCAGGCAGAGCCTGGTGGTGATTCGACAGAAAATTGCAATCAGTGTGGGAGCTGGGAGGGTTAAGATGAATTGGGGCCATTGATGGCCAGGGGCAGGTTTGCCCCTGGTCTGGGGATGGGAGGGAGTGGACATGGGGGGGGTGAGGGTGGGGCTGGGGGGCAACACTGAAGGGGTTAAACAGGATTTTGCTCCTCATGAATTTGTTTGCCTGGGCCCAGGATTGGAGGGCTTCACACCTGTACCCTGTGTATACAAGAATCAGATTTATAATATTTCCCTGGTTTTTGTTACTTATGAACGCTATAAACCAAATTATTTTGAAAACTGGTGCATCACCTTGTCCTTAGCAATAACATGTCTTGAGCAGAGGATTGGCTGTGTCTGCCCCCAGGAGCCGGAGTGGCCCAGAGTCAGGCTGAGGGTGTGTCTAGAGCAGTGGTCGGCTAACTGCGGCTCGCAAGCCACATGCAGCTCTTTGGCTCCTTGAGTGTGGCCACGAAGTTTCAGTCGCACGCGCCCGCACGTGGTATTTTGTGGAAGAGCCACACTCAAGGGGCCGCAGTTTGCGGCCGCAGTTTGCCGACCACTGGTCTAGAGGCACAGGCTCTGGCGCAGGGCCATGTATTAAGAAGACTCAGTGTGGAAAGATCTAGGAAGCTGTCGTGAACATGGGTTCCTCGTCAAGTTCTGGTGCTGTAGTGTGGTGGGACGGGGACAGAGGCACCTCTGGCCTGAGTACCCGTTGTTTCCCCCACTTAGAGGTTGGAAGGAGGAGGAGTAAAGGAAAGACCAGACCACCACTCAGCCTGTAGAACTGAATTTGATCTCTCACTTCTGGCTCATTTCTTTGAGCTGGTCAAGTTCATCCCAGAATCTCTGTTCCATACAAATTGTGGAGCCAGCTGGAAAGGGAGTACATTTTAGGTGCTAGAAGAGCAAGGGACTTGACCCCCAGAGGAACCCCAGGGGGGTCTTGAAACTGCTCTGAGCTGTCTAGTTGGTGAGAAGCTTCCCTGCAGGAAGACCTGGTCCCTGTGCCTGGTGGGCCCCTGAGGTCCAGGTGGACAGGGAGGCGCGGGGAATAGGTGCCGGACCTGGCACAGCACAGCTGCTCTCGTTGGTCCCTGGGTGGCCTCTCGGTTCCATGGCCAGTCCAGGTGCAGGAGAGGCGTGGGTCAGCTCAGCAATTCTCGGTGCTTCTCTGGTCCTGGGGCTTGGGAGGCGGCTGCTTCCTGGGGTCTCATTCTTGGGCGCGGAGCAGCAGGTTTCAAAGACACTATTCTATGCCAGCTCCCGGAGGTTGGCCTTTTTGTGCAGCACCCAATGATTCCCAGGGGTCACTGGTAAGATGGGCAGAGGCCAGCCTGGGGAGCAGTACCTTTGGAGAGGAACACTTCCTCAGACTTGGCAGGGTCCCACCACCTCCACGGCCGCCTTCCTTCGAGCACCTGCATAGCTGGGATTCTTGCTCTTATCCCAGCAGAGTTCTTATCGATTTTTCTAGAAAGTTCATGCTTTTTATTTTGGTCAGCCTGGTAACGACGGGGAAACAAACGATTAAAGGGGTAATGAGATTTTATTTAGATCACACACAGCCTGCAGTCCGGAACTCCCTCACTGTGCCAGCCTGTCAGGCAGGCTCCTCCTCCGAGGCCTGTTTGCCAGGGCAAACTGCCTTCCTTTTAGGATTTTTGGGTTGGCAACCAAGGATTGCAGCCGGGCCGTACCTCTTCCCACCTGCCGGGCTGAGGGAGGAGTGGGAGAGGGCTAGGACCTCCAGAGCTGCAAAGGCTAAACGGACTGGGACGGGACGGGGCGGAGTGGTCCTGTCCCCCGACAAAATCTTTTTGCGAGGCTCTGAAACTGATGGTACTGAAGCGCAGCTTGGGAACCCCGTCCACTCTCATCCCACAAGATGGGGCAGGGTCGCCCAGCCCCTGGAGGTCCAAAGCCTCGGGCCTCGGGCAACACTGGCAGCGTTCCTCGGCGTGGAACGCCCGTGGCCACCCGGCTGCGCCCACCGCGCGGGTGAAGAAACAGGCCCTGGGGAGGCTGGGTCGTGCCGGAGGCCAGCGAGCCCTGCGGGCACCAGAACGCGCGCCGCTGGGCAGGGAAACCAGGCAAGAAGGAAGCCTCCAGCGGGACGTGCTGCTGGGGCGCCTGCCGAGCGCGGACGCCGGCACCGCGACGCCCGCCTGCAGCCCCGCACCGCCCGCATCCCCAGCCCCCGAGGAGCGCGGTGGGCGGGCCGGGAAAGTCGGGGCTGCCGTGCCATTGGGCCACTGGTGCCCGTGCCTGCCCACTGCCCGGCCTGCGCGCGCCGATTGGCCGCGGACGCCCGACTCCCGGCGAGGCGCTGAGGCGGAGAGCGGGATTGGTGGTCCCGCCGTCCCCGGGTCGCGGCCGCGCGCTCCGCCTGGCGCTGCGTCCCCACTATGGCGGCGCCCATGCCGCCCACCGTGTCCCGGGCGCCCTCCGGGGTCCCCCGCGGCTGCCGCCGCCGTCGCCTCCGCCGTCGCCTCCGCCTTCCCGCCCGCGACGGGCCGGGCGCCGCCTCCCCGCTGCCGTCCTCTCCGCTGCGGTAAGGGCCCGTCCTGCGTGCGTCGGGGCGCAGCCGCCACCGCAGCTAACGGTCACCGAGCTCCCCGCTCTCCCCTCCCCCGCCGTCCCGGGCTGGGCCGGGCGCGGAGCCGGCGCGCGCTAACGCTGGGGAATAATGAGGTCCGGGTGGGCCTGGGGGTTCGGGCGGGAAGACCCGTCCCTGGACGGCCACCCCGGGGCTGCCAGGCCTGCGGGAGAGGACGGCTGACCCAGACCGAACGGCCTGAGGTCATCGCGCGCGAGACCCCGCCGCGCCGCGCACCTGGGCGCGGAGGGAGGACGCGGTCAGGCCGGCCAGGCGGTGGGGAGGGGAGGGAAAGTGCAGGGCGGCCGAGCGGGCCTCGGCGGCGGACGGGGAGGGGCTCGGTGCTCATGCCCTGCTGGCACCAGGTGTTCGGGGGCCGGGGCCAGTTTGGTCGGCACAGTACGCTGCCCCGGCTTCCTCTCCTGCGACACTTCTCCCCGCTGTTGACTCGCTCGCGCTTGCAAGAGGAAATGTCTTAGTGATGAGGTTTGGTTAGGACAGTATCCCACGAATATTTTGGATTCCTTTTTACAGCAGGGCTATTTTTATAATTCCTTAATGAACTTTATTTCTATTTGTGTTTCCCTGACACGAGGAAGGAGTGAAACGGAATTGAATCATTGTAGTTAATTGAGAGAGGGACCAGGGAAGACAGCTGTTACTTTGTTAAAACACAATGGATACACCTTGAATGATCCATACCAGCGATTTTCAGCCAGTGTGCGGCAAGAACTTTTAAAACATGTAAAACATGCAGTAACTCACTATAGAGTCAGGGGTACCGACTCTTTTCCCTTAGGCTGTAAAATAACAAAGGACATCAGCCAACACATCCGGTGTGAACGAATCAAAATGTCACCATATTTTTTTTTTTTTTTTGGTCTGATCAGCAAAAAACATAACATTTTCTGGTGTGCCGCAGAATTTTAGTAGTTAGTTTATGTGTGCCGTGAGATGAAAAAGGTTGAAAATCCATAATCTATATATATATATTTTAGCGAGTTGAACAGGAAGGTGGGGAAAATGCACTTATTAGGATTCTGAAAGTAAAATAATCAGCATGGAAAATTCGGTTATTTCTAGGTCATAATCACCCTGGAGTGATGATCACTGAACTGTGGTATACCTTCAAGTCAAAAGGATTAAAAGGAAGCTGGCACGAAGATTTATGACAAAATGATATTTTCAAATAATCTCTTAAGGCAATAGCAGCTCCTAAGATTAAAGACTAACTAAAGGACATTTTGAAGTATTAAGTGATGAATCTCTCCATTTCACATGTCACATGAGGAAATAAGATGTGCATATTCTTAGAAACCAATTGATTTTGGATAATCCATAGTGTCTATTGAGTATATATTGGGTGCAAAGCAATACAGATGTGGGGAACTCAAGACTTACTCTAATGGGCCTATAAGTTGTGGGAATAAAGAGCACACTGGAAATTGGTTGAGTAATGATATGGTCTCTAGGATTCTGAGGCAGTGGATACTATAAGACTGCAGGAAAAGGAGTTCAGTTGAGCATGGGTGGGAAGGCCTGGGTGGATGATGAGGAAGGAGAAGCGAAGAGATGAGAAAGTGAGGACGGTAGAGGATGGAGGATGGTGGAGGACGGTAAAGGCGGCAGGGGAGAACCTGGAATGCGTGTGGTGGTTCCAGGGAGTTTCCTGTTGGAAAAAGCAGGCTGTAAGATAGTAACAAATTAAGAGGCAACTTTTCCTAGATGGAGCAAAAGATAAACAAGTAGTATTTACTTCAGATGACGCTGGAGTCAGCCATTAGAAAAGAGCGCACCACCTTATTTGCCTTGTGACTTTGCTGATTCACCTCAGCCATGTGGAGTAACAGTGCTCTCCACTACTCGGGAGTCATACTTCAAGAACCATTCTTGCCTTTTTTCTCCCCCTGGGTTCAGCTGGTTGCTGGGTCTTTTTTTCTTTCTTTCTTTCTTTTTTAACCCTCACCGGAGGATATTTTTCCATTGATTTTTAGAGAGAGTGGAAGGGAGGGGGAGAGACACAGAGAGAGAAACATCAGTGTGAGGGAGACACATTGATTGGTTGCCTCCCGAGCCTGCAACCAAGGTACGTGCCCTTGACCGGAATCGAACCCAGAACCCTTCAGTCCATAGGCTGGCGCTGTACCCATTGAGCCAAACCAGCTGGGACGCAGAGTCTTTTGCTACTGCCTCTGCACTATTTCTGGCATCTGCTTCTTTCTGTTCCTCCTCTCATCACACTGATTTAGGGCCTTTGATATACCATTCCCTTGAATTATTGCAGAAACCCCCTAAATTGTTTTCTTTCTTCCCATTCATCTTGTGTACTACCATCACTTCCCCAGCTAAGATTTAATGGCTCTTTACTGTCTGTTGAATTAAGCACAGACCAAGCCTGGCATGGGCAGTATGGGTAAATTCATTTTTTTTTGCCATTCCCTTAGATTTCATTATATTTTCCAGATCAGTGGAACTGTTTGCTCTTTGTGCTCTATATCTTTGCTCATGTTGCTTTTTCTATCTTAAATGACCCCTTTCAATCTCTAGTTGTTGGTTCTCACTCATGTTTCAGGGCCATTTGATAAGAAATTTCCTTTGTGAAGCCTTTCTGTACTCTTCTCCCCATCTAGATGTGACTTGTCTCTCGTTTAAGCCATTATAACACCAGAGTCTGCCTTTTTTTGGCACAGTTGCCAATCCCAGGCTGAAGTTCTTTCAAGACATGGGTTGTCTTCTTTCTCATCTAGCACAGTGGTTTGTACATAGTAGGTGTTTGGCCAATATATTTTATATTGAATATAGCTTTGAACCAGGATGGCTGCAAAGAAAAATTCTTTGTACCAAAAAAATATTCATCATAAAATCTGCAAATAAAGTGACTTGTGTGAGAGAATTGCTTCCTTAGAGATCTGGTGTATTGGTTTGGAGCCTGGGTTAGGCTGCATTAACAAAAACTTCAAGACTTCAGTGGCTTCACAGAATAAAAGTGGACTTCTCTTTCAGTCCACATGTCCCACACGAGTGCACAGGGAGCTCTGCTCCTCACAGTCACACGGACCCGGGCTGATGGAAACTCCATTTGACATGATATTTCCATGATAATTTTGAAAGATGGTGCTCAGGGTAACTGGCTTTTAAAGTTTCTGTCCCAAAGTGGCATATGTCACTTTTATTCACATTTCATTGGCTGACATGGCCATGCCTAACTTTAGATTTAAATTATTTTTAATTTATTGATGGGAAAGGAAGAGAGAGGGAGAGAGAGAGAGAGAGAGAGAGAGAGAGAGAGAGAGAGAGATTGAGATTGACTGATTTGTTGTGCCTTGACCAGGAATCAAACCCATTTCCTTGGCATATCGGGATGATGCTCAATCCATCTGAGCTACTTGGCCAGGGCTGGCCATGCCTAACTTAAAAAAGCACAGGGAGTTGCAGTCTTGGCATGTGCTTGGGAAGCAAAGAGCCAGGAATGATTTGTGAATAGCACAAATGACCATTACATCTCTATGGGTATCATGGCTCATAGAAGATTAGAGGTAGCAAAAGCAGATTGGCTACTAGAGACAAACTTTGACAGTAGCCAGAAATAATAGCTCAACTAGGCATGGGCATGAGGGTGGATTGGGAACTCCATTATGAGCATTATACCTGCTCACAGGATACAAGGGCAATCTGTGATATCCCAGCGCAGTCATTCCTAAGGGGACACTGTTTCACAGCATCCTCTGTGATGAGCACAGGAATGGTCATGAGGCATCCACAAAAGTTAAATTACATTTAAGATATTCAACTTAAGCCAGGGCAGGCCGGTGTGGTTCAGTTGTTGAGCGTCGATCCATGAAACAAGAGGTTGCTGGTTTGATTCCTGGTCAGGGCACATGTCTGGGTTGCAGGCTCCATCCCCACTAGGGGGTGTGCAGGAGGCAGCTGATCAATGATGTTTCTCATCGATGTTTCTACCTCTCTATCCATCTCCCTTCCTCTCTCTCTAAAAATCAAATAATACTAATAAAAAAAAGCCCGGAGGTGTGTAATAACTTGAGATACATTTTCACTTGAATGGTTAACATCAAAAGGCATCTTTCTTCAACCTTATTGGTTTAACTGGGTTCAGTTGAGTCTATCCAGTTTTGATAACTGGGGGGGAGATTTCACTTTTGATGAAGAAGAGAAGCACAGGGTGCTCTTTGGAGCCTTGGTTCAGGAGATAAGACCTGTTTTGAAATCTTGGCTCTGCCACCAATTGTCTGACACTGAGCAAGTGCCTTCTTCTTGAGCCTGAGTTTCCTTATCAATGAAATGCAGTTAGGAGGATTCAGTGAGTTTGTTTATGTAAAGCGCTTCACACAGTACCTGTCAGAGTAGGCACTCATGATCATGCTTATTGTCATCATCAGCAGCAGCAGCAGGATTTGAAGAAACTGAGAAATCAGGTAAGGCGACTCCGGGGATGTAGGTAGAAGGTCCCCCCAGGGCTTCCTACCGTTTTTTCCCTTTTTTGGATAGCATTCTTGCCATCTAGCTTACTTTACTTAGTTGTATATATGTTTGTGTCTCCCACTAGACTAGGCACTCTTGTCATCCCACAAATATTTATTGAACACAAGTTCTGTGCTAGGCTCTATGCAAGGTCCTGGCATGATAAACATGGAAGGTATGTCCCTGGCCTCAAAGACCCTATAGTGTGGTGGAACCAGAAGCCAGTAAAGTAGCAGTTAGAATACATTGTAACAAGGGTGTTTGTGGGTCCTGTGGGAATCTCCTGTATTCACACTGGGAATATAAATAATGGTTTTTCAGAAGTTCACACCTAACCTCAGTCTTGAAGAATCACTAGTTATTAGCTGGGTGGATGTGGGTTTAAAAAAAGGCTTTTCAGACAGGAAACAATGTATACAGTGGCCTAGATACACAAAAGAGTGACTACATCCTGAAGATGCTTGAATAGTAAGAGA